TTTATTTTTACCGGGATCTGCATGTCGATCAGTATCAAAAAAGTATGTGCAGGTGTATCAAAAACGTAAGATTTGCATCAAAAACGTAAGATTTGCATCACTGCACGTGTCCCCGTGCTCACGTGACTCCCTGTTATTAGTTGAACCGTTAGCAGGTTAACACCGGTAAACCCGTTTTCAGCCATTTCGAAAACTGCGATAATAAATATTAATTTTTAGATTTTAAAATCTAAAATATAAATTGCTTTCAAATCGTATATACGTGTTGTGTAAAATTAATGTTTTGTTTAAAAAAAAAATCAAACTTTTTTTTTAAAAAAATTAAATATAAATATATTTTTTAAAATACTAATACGTATAATATAATTTATACAGTAAATTAAATTAATTTCTATCAAAATAAATAAAAATAATTTTATTAAAGAAACCTTAATATTATATAATAATTTATTTTTATTATAGATATATAGATCATAGCCAGAATTAAGATTAAATTTTATATTATTTCATAGTGTAGTAGTGAAAAAGATTAATTCAAAATATTGAATAAATTGCCATTTTGATACAAATGTTTTTTAAAGCTCACAAAAGACGCAAGATTTCTGTTTATTACGTGTGTTGCATAATGCAAACAATATGCGTCATAATCTAAGCTAATTTACAGTAATTTTTTTTAATAAAACATATACAGATATACAGATTTAGCGTTAGCATTTGACTATGTCCAAATCTGTTCAAAAAAACATGGCTACGTATGTACGTAAAACGACATACTAGTAATGGGTAGCCAATTACTGTGCCACTTCCTATTGTTCAAGATACCTTCTTGATACGTCAAAGTTCATACAAATTAATTTAATCAGAAACGACACAAATCGAATGGCCATCATTTACTATGCGCCGTTTTTAGCCCTGCTGCGATAATATCTCGGATACAATACATTTCCACAATATCAGTATAACATATGGGCTGATTTATAGAATTGGCAATAACTTTTTATCTAGTAGCCTGTTTTGGATAATTTTACTGCCAAAATGTTCAGCTCATTGAGGGGATTCTAACAAGACCATAATCATTAAAATCCAATTGAGAATTTTGCAATATGATTGGCCAAAATTTGAAGACATTTTAGACACTTTATATCGTAACCAATAGGGTACTAGGGTATTTTGTTTCGAAAATTTTTATGGGTAGAACCGTAAGCACGTATGTACGTGCGTACGTACGCATGTACAGTTTTTTTTTTTTATTAATTGGTTAGATACACATTTTAGCTCAAAAAAAAAAAAAAAACAAATCTCAGAGATTATTAATTAATTAAAAAGAAATTCCAAAATTCATTCTTTAAGTTAATTAATACGCATAGTGATCTGTAAAATTTATTCGATCAGGTAAGAACAATTCTCGGAAAATTCATTTATAGTTACGCTAGATTATGCTGAAAATCTAAGCTCGATGTACATATTTATTTCATTCATTCAACCAGGATTAAAATTATTGGTGTCTTATTTGTGATTGTGTCACAACTTCGGCTCCTCTGGTGGATATAAAAACTCCGCCATATATTGCGCCCAACTTTTTTTTTTCTTTTTTTTTCTCTAACTGCGTTAAATAAATTTGTTGCCTGAGGATAAAAGATTACATAAGTAGGAGAACTCTTTTTGTTGCGGACCAGAGTTTGGTTTATGTCACGTAGGTTCTCTAACGCTCCGAGCCTCACTCCGCAAATATTGTACGGCGTTTCTTATGAAACACTATAGAAAGTCATAAAAAAAAAAAAAAAAAAATGTACAGTATAAATTTTGATTCATGTGACATTTTGAAATTAAAAAAAATTTTTTAACAAATTGCATTAATTTTTTAATTTCGTTAATTTGTCAATTTAATATGTTTGTTTATATAGTGATCCCTTCATTTACTCGAAATGGAGTAGGTTGATTTATTATATTTTAATGCATAATTATTTTAATTTTTGCATAAACCTTTAAATCTTAAAATTTCTTTTTTTTTTTTTAAATAGTTTAAGTCAATCGAAGTTTTCCCATGTACCTGGCCCCAAAATGGGATTTGATTTAGAAAGTGCAAAATTGGCCATTCCGCAAGGACTTTTTCTGTTACCCGGAGAAACCATTGAATTTATAGCAAAAACCTGCGCGATAAAACTTTTTGAAGCTACTGCTGATGGTGGTTTTAAAGAATGTGATGATGGAACCGCTGAATTCTACAGTCAATCGGATGGTGCTGCTAATGAGGTAAAAACTCATTAATCCGATATTTATTATGTACGTTTTCATTGGTGGCTTGTCATTCTAAATTTTTTGATTTATTTATTCGATTCGGTTTATTCTATATTATAATTTATTTATATCGTTGATTTTTTCACAAAGTCGACAGTATTAATCACTAATTATCGAACCTGTTATCGACCTGTAAGAAATTCCACAAATTTCCCTACATCATCGTTACATCCACAAATAGATATGATACGTTCTACTACACAAATTCCACATCTTTCCATATCTCAAATTGAAGAGTCGCAAGCACAAATTACGATATCCCTCAAATTTTCTCCATCAAAATATTTGATTAAATTCTCAAAGCCAAAACCAACCGCATTAGTAGGAAATTATATCAACATCCGAACCACTGCGAATTCACTATGTCATGATTTTTCAACTATAATGAAACGATTTGTATATCCTAGTAATTTAGAATGTACTTTTGCTTTTCATATGGGTGATGCGGAAGTATTTAAAAAAAACTCTTCGATAAAACGTGATCAAAATGCTCAACGTAATCGTAAATTAACATTAGAAGAAAAAATCTTTGAGGAATTATTTGGTGGGTTGAGTAGTGATGAAGAGGATGATGATGATGTAATAAGAAAAGGCTTGGATGAATCTATTTTCAAACGAACCCGTGATTTGGGCTGGTCTAAAGGGTATAGAATACAAAAGGAGTTTGAACGGATGCAGATGAATAAAGATTCTTGGTAATAATTTTATTCCAATCATTAAACAATTTAATACCAATTTAATTTTTCTAACATTGTTTCTCATATTTAATATTATTTTAGGTGCATCGCATCTATTAATGAAGATTTTTCAGTATCTCCAACTTATCCTCAAGATTTTATTTTGCCAACACAAATTCTTAAAGAAACGTTAGCAAATTTAAACTCATCTAGTACTTATTCTAATTTATCTAATGCTTCAATTGAATCACAACCCACGACTAGTTCACAATCTACGTCAGAATCACAATCTACATCAGAATCACAATCTGGTTCTGCTTTCTTTGAAAATCTTGCTAAATTTCGGTCTCGTGGACGTTTTCCTATTATTTGCTGGAAAAAAGGTCATAATGTATTGATGAGGAGTGGGCAACCAATGGTTGGATTTTTGGGTTCAAGAGGATTAGAAGATGAAACACTGATGCATGAAGTTCTTTCCACCGTTGATGAAGAACATCAAATTTTAGCAGCAACGATGATAAGTAAAGGCTTTGATGGGGATGAGATTAATAATAATAGTAATAATAGATTTTCAAAACATTATGGTGGTTTTTATGAACCCTGTGGTATGAAATTATGTGTGTTAGATGCAAGAGGTTATGCCGCAGCTTTTACTAATGGATGTCAGGGAGGGGGATATGAAAATATAGGTATTTATATTTCATTATAATCATTATCGTTCGGAACGTCATTCCGTTGTCCGCACACGTGACGTAGATCACTTGAAATTCTAGAAATTTCCCGTCTTTTTTTAAAAAATTTAACGATCCGGACATATCGCACGATGGGCGTACTTAGCTAATAGATATCGAATTTAACGTATTTATTAATATATAATTAATCAATACTGTATATAGAGAATTATCCACAAAATACAACTTTACAATTTCTTGGACTTTCAAACATTCATACAATTGCCGCTTCACATTCCGCTTTACTACGCGCAATCGCAACTAACGCTTCATCACCGAATTGGTTCTCGTTACTTAAGGCTACAGGATGGTTAGATAATGTGGCTGATTTACTAAGATCTGCTGGGGGTAAAGAAGGTGTTGTTGGAAAACTTGTTGATGAAGATGCTAGTGTTTTAGTAGTATGTAATTTACTATATAATTGTCGTATTCGCATTTTAATGTTATTTTACAATCTCATTAATTGATCCCGCTAATGTAATTAAAGCATTGCACAGATGGTTGGGACAGGTAAGGAATTATATTTGTTTTTGTGGTAATACATTTACAAATGTTGATCTTTTCTTTTTTTCCTTTTATAATAATTCACAAGAACCACACAATTGGTTTCGCTGTCTCAAATAATGGTGGATCCATTTTATCGCACAATTAAGGTTTGTCATAATATAAATTATTTTTAATCTATTTGTGATGGTGTTTTAATAATTTCTTTGAACAAAAATTGGATCGTAGGGTCTACAAGTGCTAATTGAGAAGGAATGGATTGCCTTTGGACATCCTTTTCGTTCACGTAGTGATCTCCCTTATAATCTTTGTAATAATGATCCAAGGTCACCTAAAATTAAACAAAATTCCCGTAATTTCAAGGAGCCACAAGCTTTAGAAACCGCACCAGCTCCCGTGTTTCTTTTATTCCTTACATGCCTTCATCATATCTTAGAACAATTTCCATCTGCATTCGAATATAACGACTTCTTTTTGCTCTGTCTTGCTCGAGCCGCTGCCGGAAATTCTCCCTTTGGAGATTTTTTGTGCAATTGCGAATGTGAACGAGAGGCCATACAATTACGGGAGAGAACAAGAAGCATATGGTCATGGGTCAAAGAACGTAGGCAATGGTTCAGAAATCCATTGTATCAAAGAATTCGCCCATATGACCTAATTCATCATAACGATCACAGTACCTGGAGTGATCATTCGTGGAAAAAAGATGTTTTACGTCCAGACACTGATGCAAGGGTTATTACATTATGGTCTGATTACTATTTCCCAAAAAAAAATGATTTATCAATTGCCTTATTGTCAATGCCTTATTGCGCTGATGTCGAACTGGAAGAAGGTATCGGACCTTCTCAACATCACATTGGAGGATTTCCTTCAGAATATTATCTTGTCAGCCTTTTCATGAAAAGAAAAAGGCGGAGAATTGCAGAAAAGGTTTGGACAATTTGGAGGTCATTTTTATTGGAAAATAGACAAAAATCACTAAAAGCAAAGAAAGATAGAAAAAAATTTGTAAATGAAGAAGAAAAATGGGCTGTTCTTCGTGGATCAGAGTGGAAAGATGATGAGTTAAACCAATCGCAAGAAACGCAGGATAGAACAAGTATTGATCACGCAAATAAAGACCTTGATAAATCATCCATATTATCTTCATCACAACAATCAACGTGTGAAAAATCGGATAGTTTACTTTCGACTGATTACGATGATGATACAGATGAATTAGATGAGGATACAAATATAATGTTATCCAGAGAAATGTGTGAAAGCCAATTTTTGGAATGGGTTCATCTGTCCAGCCAAGGTAGTGAAGACTCCGAGACGACCAGGATATTAGCAGAATTACTTAGAGAAGCACAATTGGATGAACATTTAGGTCAGAGTAAATGTCAAGATAATGATTCTTTGGCAGAATTATTGAAAGAGGCCATATCTGAAGATCAAGTTTTTTGCCAGAACATACATTCAGATACTGAGGAACTAACAGAATTGCTTAAAGAAGCACAATTAGACAATCATTACTTATGTAGAAGTAGATGTTCAAATACCTCATCCATTAACCGAAATTCCACTTCAAACTTTACCTTTAAACCACCAAATTCGATCATAATAGAAAATAATACACCATCAGACGAAAAAGATTTTGTAGGTATAGTGCCGTCACTAGAACCATTAAAACCAATTAACTCACCGGATCTGAGTGAGTTTGAATTTGTGCTTGTATAATTATTAAGTTATAAACAAAAACATAAAAATACCCAAAATTATTATATCCGTACTATTTCTTACATTTAATATTACCGTTACTGTTTTTTTTTATTTTTTTTTGTCCGATGAATTTTTTTCTAAACTGCGCATCTATTTGGTTATTTATAACCAAAATATCGGAAGAATGGGTCTTTTTTGTTTATATTCATTTAATTAATTTCCGAAACAGCATTCTTACAACTATTTTTGTAGATATAAGCATTGTATATCATAATTTTTATTATAGTTTTCCAACATAGACGTTTTCTATCTTTTTTTTTTATTTAAACCAACATACATTTGATAACATTGTTATATGTCAATTAATACTTTTGTAAATGTATTTAGTTTTAATTGGTTGTTGGGGTTATAATGAACTAATGCTGTTGTTTAGCTGATTCAAAAAATAAATAAATAAATGGAATAATAATTTTACTTGTGCAAAAACTCATTTATAGTCACGATTGATTTTTTTGAGATGTAATTTAATGAAGAGGTTAAATCGGTTAAGTTAAAATTTATTAATTACCCCCACGCTAGAAACAATTCGATTTGCAGAGTAGAATTGGCGTACTGAACAATTATTGCTTTTGGAATAAAAATTTTATTAGATTAATTTTGTATGGACGCATTATTACAATGATTACAGTAATTTTTTACAGGGATCCAAAAATGAGGATAGTACCTTTGCCGTGGCGAAAAAAATTCTTCTATGGATTACAAGTATAAAAATTACAAAATTTATTCGAATACTACAAGCCTGTAGAATTCAAACAAAAAATTTTCATCGAATTTTGTCAAAGTTTTAGAAAAACTTGGCGCAGCTTTTATCTTTATAAACGTTTTTTGATTTTTCTAAAACTTTAAACAGAGATCTCGATAACACCTGACCAAATTTGATAAAATTTTTATTTGAATTATACAGGCCCGTAGAACCCAAATAAAAAAAATTATCAAATTTGTTAGGTGGTTATCGAGATATCTTCACTCAAAATTTAGAAAAATTTGACACAGCTAGAGTTAATTATTAAAAATCATTTCTAAAACTTTAAACAAAGATATCTTGATAACCACCTGACCAAACTCAACAAAAATTTTTATCAAAAAAAAATTGGCGCAGCATTTATTTAGCAGATATTTTTAATTTAAAAAGTTAAGCAAAGATATTTTGATAACTATTTATACAAATCTGACAAAAAATTTTTTGTTTAAGTTTTGCAGATTCGTAGAAGTAAATTATTAAATTTGTTAGGTAGTTATTAAGATATTTTTGTTTAAAGTTTTAAAATAATTTGATATGATTTTTTATTTTGATAACAGATAAATGTTTTTATTTTTTTAAATCTTTAAGCAAAAATATTTCAATAGCCACCTGTTATTTGAATTTTACAGATTTTTAGAATTTAAATAAAAACAGTTTTTATTAAAATTTGTTAGATAGTTATTAAGATATTTATTAAATAAAAAAAAGTTATTTTTTTTTTTAGCATTTGACAGTCTTGCTAGAGCTCAAATACAAATTTTATTTATTTAATTGATAATGAAAACATTATTACTAAACAAACATGATTTGAAATTGTAAGACAAACATCACCTGGTTACATATTACATGCCCAGGAGTAACCTATTGTACCAACTTATAAAATTTGATCTAAAGCTAATCCTTTAAATACTTTTTTTACTGAGAACAAAAAAAATAATATTTTGTATTAACAATACAAAAACATACATCAAGAAGAAAACAAAATTAACTTATACTAAAAACAAATAAATAATAAAAGAAAAGTTATTAAAGAAAAGAAAAGAAGATATAGCAATATAGAGTTGTTGTATCTCCAAGCTAGCTTGTAATTAATGTACCAAGTTCAAAACTTATTAGTAATAATTTGGATAAAACTACTTGTGTTATTATAATAGATAGAGCTCTAATCCGGGTTAATAATTATGGATCAGATATCAACCTAGATCATAACCTGGGTCAATATATCATATAGGGTCTTTGTCTTAAAAATTGAGTTATGGAATATAGTAAATTATATGTCCCATACTTGATTTTCAAGGCAAAGACCCCATATAGAAAATCGAAAAAATTTTAAAGTTAAGGCCACACAAACTTATACTATTGGTTTTTATAACCCGGCCGGGTTAAATTCAACAAAAATTTGAAAAAAATTTTTTACTATATTTATTATCCGGGTGGACTTTTTTAAATTTTTGTAAAAAAATTTTATATGTTTTTTACATATAAAATTTTTTGAAAATAAAATTAAAAGCCGGGTCACAAAAAGTTACTTGGTGATATGAAAACCAATAGTATAAGTTTGTATGGCCTAATATTAGTGTAGCAAAAATTTTGATAATGAGGCAGTATTCTAATTCTAAGATATTTAGTTTGACAAATAAAAGATAACTTAGCAAGGCCTATTTGAACTTATATTGATATCAAATATGCTTCTTAGCATAACTTAAACCAATAAAAAAAAAAAAAATTTTAGATAATTTGATAGAATCGCTAGTACAGTAGTAGGTGTCATATGGAACCTCCCACAGCAAAAGGGGGGATGGGCCAAAAAATTTAAAAATTTGTTCTTATGATAATTTTATTTTAATTAATTTGATTCTTCGAGATATTGAATTTTTTAAAAAAAAAATTTTTTGGCCCATCCCCCTTTTGCTATAGGGGTCCCATATATGTTTTAAAGGTGTGAACTACTCTGGAATTTTAAAATATGAGTAATACAAATATCAATTAACTCTTTTTAAGACTAATCTAAATAACACTGTAAACTACCCAACTTTATCGAACCCTCATGGAAATACTTGGTCCAGGTTATTAAAGCCAAACAAAGCTTTAAATTATGTTATGAATTTCTAGTTTGAGATTAAACTATTAATTCTTGAATTATTAAGGATAATTAAAGCAAAACGTTAAAGTTGGAATAATAAACTCTAATTGAAACAAACTCTAATGCTTTACACCAACTCTGAGTTATTTTTATTATAGAAAGAAAACTTCTTCTTTATATAATTATTTTATATATATAATGGAATTTTAGAAATTCTAACTATTCTTGTTATTCTAGCTATTTTATGAATTCTCATAATTCCTATCATTTCTCAAATCCCAAGAATTTCTCAAATACTAGAAATTTCAGAAATTTGTACAATATTTAACACTAAAATTAGAACTATAAGATAAAATAGAATTTAAGATTCTTTACACCATACATATATCAGAGATAGTTAAAAATTTTTTAAAAAATTTTCTGAAATTTTTGGTAATTTTTGAAATTTATTAAAATAAATTAACTTTTTAGCAGATCCAAATCTAACAAATTAGAATACAGAAATCATATCATGTTATACCTGATCTTAGTAATAATGCAAACAATAGCAATTATTCTTATATTATTCAATAATAAATTTTTTTAGATTGTTATTTTTTTACCAATTTTTTTGGTAATAATTTTTTGCTTGTTGTGCTTGCTATTTTTTAGTGTAATATATATATTTTTATTAGAATATTTCTAACTATAACCAGTGGTGATTATCACCAGGGTGCCTATATCACAAAAATGTACTAAATAAATGGGATCAGGTACTTTAAGTAAAAATGTTCAGGACCCCCAAAAACCTTACAAAAACTGAGATCAGGTCCTAACGGGCCCTTATAGTAGGTCTATATTATTTTATATAAAAAAAAAAATAATTTTCTAATTTCTAACCCTAACCCTAAAAATAATTAGAGGTAGTGATGATCACCACTAGTGATTTTAAGTATATTTCTTTTTATTATATTATAAATATACATTTCTATAGGTAAAAACTTATAATCTCAAGACTCAAAATGCATGCAAAATGATACACAAATTGATCTATGAATTATTATGCAAAAGACTATTGTACAACAATACAAAAAAATAATAAAACACTTTGATTTTATATAATTAAAATCTACTAAAATATTTGCAAAAATTATCAAAATATATACAACTCTTCCCAATAATCACCTGAACCAAAATTTTTCACTAAAAAAAAACTAGAACTACTTGTTGGAGAGTCGTGGTCTATATAGTGGTTTGTCTAGAGGTCAACTGCCTACTCTCAAGGACTTATCTAAAAAAGGATATTTGGTATCTCTTAAATTGTAACACAGGCAAATTTGCCTGTGTTTTTATTAAAAAGTTTAATTTTTTTAATAAAAACTTATA